TTCTATTAAACGTATATTCACATTAGTCATGTTGTAAAGAAGAGTTAGAACCAATAAGAGGCACCACAAGAAAGAAGAAACAAAACAAGGGAAAAAGAGAGCAAATAGTATGTTTCAATCTGCATTGAAACCCCATAGTTCTTTCTCTGGATGTGGATAGCATTTTCCATCATGAGACTTTTGGAGATGTCTTAAATCTTTGCATTACTGAAAAGAGCTAAGTATATCAAAGTTAGTCATTGTACAATGTGATTATTACTATGTACAATGTTCTCCTGGTTCTGTTTACTTCACTTAGCATCAGTTCATACAAGTCTTTCCAGGTTTTTCTGAAGTCTGTTTGCTCATCATTTCTTATAGCACAATAGTATTCCATTACATTCATATACCACAACTTGTTCAGCCATTCCCCAATTGATGAGTATCCCCCCAATTTCCAATTCTTTGCCACCACAGAAAGAGCTGCTATAAATATTTTTGTACATGTGGGTCCTTTTTCCATTTTGGGGGGGGGGGGTTAGGCAATGGGGTTAAGTGACTTGCCCAGGGTCACACAGCTAGTGTTATGTGTGTGAGGCCAGATTTGAACTCAGGTCCTCCTGAATCCAGGGCCGGTGCTCTATCCACTGTGCTACCTAGCTGCCCCCCCCCCTTTTCCCATTTTTATAGTCTCTTTGGGATACAGCCCTAGAAGTGCTATTGCTGGTCATAGGGTATACACATTTTTATAGCCAGTTCCAAATTGCTCTCCAAAATGGTTAGATCAATTCTAAGTGGGTGATTTTTCGGGGTTAAAGGGCCAATCCTCTTTGTTTTTTTTGTTTGTTTGTCTTTTTATTTTTGTTTTTTAGGCAGCTGGAGTTAAGTGACTTGCCCAGGGTCACACAGCTAGTAAGTGTCAAGTGTTTTTTGGTCTGAGGCTGGATTTGAACTCAGGTACTCCTGACTTCAGGACCAGTGCTCTATCCACTGCACCACCTAGCTGCCCCCCCAATCCTCTTTGAAAGGCACCTCTTGCCACTTTCATCTGACAAAGGAACAGCTGAGCCATCCCAAAGCACCAACTCATTCAGCGCTCTGCTTCACTCATAGCCCACTAGAAGTGGGTCCCCAAAATGAAAGTAGAATAGGAGTGGATACTAATTGATTACACCCATTACATAACTGAAATAGTCCATTTTGATATACTCTATGCTACAGCTGGTTACAAATTCATTTTCCCTATTCCTACTTCAGAGGTAGAACTTTCCATTATCTTCGGTTTGTATAACTATATTTAGCTCAATTATCCAGTTGGAATTTATTTATATAATGTAAGATACTAGTCTAAATGTATTTTCACTAGACCGTGATCTGGTTTTTTTCCCCACAGTTCTTGTAGTATAGAGTTCTTCTCCCAATACTTTGTGTTCTTAGATTTATCATGCTGTACTGTTAGCTATATATTTCTTCCTAAATCTTGATTACTTAATCTATTCCATCGATCAACTCCACTGTTTTTTAAAGCTAGTACCAGATAATGTTGATAAAAGCTTTATAATTTGAGATATAACAATGACAACCCTCTTTCTTTTCTATTCCTTTCATTATTTCCCTAGATATTCTTGACTTTTTAGTTCTTCCATATGAAGAATTATTATTTTTGTCTAATTCTATAAAGTATCCACTTGGTTATTTGATAGGTATAGCATTAGGTCTGTGACTACAAATGCCACCATTTTTGCTATATTAGAATGAACATTGATATCTCTCTACTTAATTAGGTCTTTAATTTCTGTAAAATTGTCAAATAATAATGGGGATAACATGCATCCTTGTTTTACCCCTGTATTGAGAAAGCATATAGTGTTTCTATATTACACATAACTTTAGCTTTAGCTCTGTTTTAGAGAAATGTTTTTGATCGTATTAAGGAAAAATTCATTCAATCCTATGCTTTTTAGTGTTTTTTTTTTAGCATAAATGAGTGCTATATTTATTTTTTTCTGAGTATTTTAGAGTATTTTGCTGTATTTTAAAGAAACTACTACAAGGAATACTAAGATGAATGATGGACTTAAGACTCCAGTTAATCTGTTCATATCACACCTCTGATGCTTACAAGTCAGTTAACCTATCTGACCTTTGTTTCCTCAATTATAAAATTGTGGTAATAGTACCCACACCTATTGGGATCGTAAATCTGGAGATGGAAGGGACCTTAGAAACCATCTAGTCCAACCTCCCCCCCCCATTTTACAAATTCCATGTGAATGAATGGACAAATATTAATGAAGAATGCTTAAGCTCTGGGAATAGAAATAGGTAAACTAGAAACACATATAAGAGAATTCAGCAGAACAGATGGAAAGGTCCAAAAGTCCTAAGAGTTCAGTGTCAGGATAAAGGGTAAGGTTCAGAGGTCCTGGTGCAAGTGTAGGTCAGATATAGGTAGAGGAGTCTTGAGGGCCAAAGGACCTTAGGATTCAGAATCAGGGAACATAGTAAGACCTGGTTGACCTCTATCTTATTGAAATCATTTTAGTTGGTGTCTCCCAGCTCATCCAAGCGGTATGTTACTCTCCCTAGATCTAGGGAGGGAGAAGGATAAGGGAAAAGGTATTCACTTCAATATTGTTGTGAGGCTTCAATTAGATCATGTAATGGAAAGTGCTTTACAAATCTTAAAGTAAAATGTCAGTTATTTTTAAGGCTTTTTCTGTTCCTGTTACCTCAATTGTGTTTTTTTCTATTCTATTATTGCTGTATTATCTTACTTGTTTTCCTAACATAGATATTCTTGTATTTCAGGTTTAAATTCAATAGTCATAATGAATAATTTTTGGATATATTGCTCTAATCTCTTTGCCAGTATTTGTTTATTTTTCACCAATGTTCATTAATAATATTGGTTCCTCTCTGTTTTGGGAATTAAGGATCATGTTTGTTTTATAGAATTTGAGTCATATAGAATTTGTCTTATAGAATTTCTTTGTTTTTTGAAAAGTTTATATAGTATACACATTTTCGCAAACTCAGATTTTTTTGATTAATCGTTTTTCTTTATCACAAGGCAGGGTTCAGTTTTGGGTAACTGTGATGTAAAGATAAAAGACATCAATTGGATGTATAAAATGTATATAAATCTGACTGGACCTGGAGTTGTTTTCTTTGAAAGTTGATTTATAGCTTGCTCAATTTGTCTGAGAATGAGTTATTTATGTTATCTATTTCCTGTTTTGTTAGCTTTTTTCTTTCTAGATAAATGACAGGAAAATTCACTGTTAATAAGGATGTGGGGAAATAGGAATGCTACTAATGGAGTTATAAATTGGTACAACTATTTAAAAAACAATTTTGGAATTATGCAAGAAAAATTACCTATTTATGCCCATTTCCCCAGCAACCCCACTGTTTGGTTTATACCCCCACAGATGTAACTAACATGAAAAGACCCAACTGTATAAAATATCATAGCAACACTATTCATAATAGCAAAAAAAAAAAAATGTTAACTGCCCAACATTTGTGATGGCTGAATATATTGTATGTGAATGTAATGGAACAAGAGTATATATCAGAAGGAATGATGAATACGAAGAGTACGTAGAAATAGAGGAAGATATATGAAATGATGCAGAGTGGACAAAGGAAAGCCAGAGGACTTACATACACAATTACAACAGCTGTGTAAATGAATACAACAAAATTAATGTGAAAAATACTGGACAATATTGGTACTAACTTAGTAGTGCACATATCCTTCTTTTCTTTTAGAAAATAGAAAACTATAGTTTTCAGAGTGTCGAGTCCTGAAATAAATCAAAGCCATGAGTTGAGGAATAAAGTGTTTTCAATTGATATAAAAGGGTAGCAAACCTGCCACCCTGGGGAATGTCCAGGGGATTTCTCAAATCCAAGACCCATGCAAAAGATTCTTATACCTTTAGAAGGTAGGTGGAGGAGGTAGCAAGGCCTGGTCATGAAATCCCAGCTGTCCTCAGCAATCTGAGCAAGGAAAACCACGTCATTTTGGTTGTTTTGCCCTTCTTGCCATGAATCCCAGTGGAAGGGGGCAAGGACATCAGAGGCCTAGATCCCACTTGAGTCTGGATTTCCCAACAAGGCAAGATCTCAGAATGGGACTTAAGCTCAACCTAATAGACCCTATCTTGCTGGGAATGCTACTGACATTCTGACATTGCTGCGGTCATTTAGGGAGTGGCAGGTAACGTAACATTTGGTATTAACAATTTTCTGTCAAGTTTAAGTCTGCATGTGCAGGTAGTCAGCCAGTAGTTATTAAGTGCTTACAGTGTGCCAGCTGTCTTGGAATCAAAAATACAAGCTGACAGTCTAATTTGGAGGGCAACATACACATATACAGAGCATTTGGTTGCACTAAGACTTTTGGGACATCCTGTATACGAAACACCTACAAAGGTAACCTAGTTGGGGGAAGGAGCAAGAGGAGAAGACCAGGAAAACTTTCAAGCAGAAGGTTGTGCTTGAGCTGAGTCTTAAAGGAAACCATGGATTTCGGATTGTACATTTTGGGGAAATCAATTAGGCTACAGTGGAACTTTGTATGTATCATACACTGAATCAAAACGCATCAATTTTTTTTAAATGATTAAGATATGCCAAATTTGAACTTGGTTTTGCCTTTTTGGGGGGTGGGCTGGGAAAGGATGGCTGACACGGGAAATCCTTTTCTGAAGAAATAGGTGAAAGAAATTAAACCTAGACTTGGAGAGGAGCCCTGGAAGAAGCCTTCTTCGCTCTCTCCATTCCCATAGCTTCTCAGGGACTTAAGGGTTCAGGCCCCTGAACTGGACGAGCTCTCCTCATCCCCTACCCCCAGTTTCCTCAAGCCAGACCCAACTCATGCACGAACACGTGCAGCCCAACCCTAAAGTGAAAAATCTAGGCAAGAGCGCCCGCCCTTAAATGGAGGTCCCCCGTGCGCGGTGACGTCAGACGCCGCTGTCACAGCCGGCGTTGGGGGGGGGGTTTGGTGTGGGGGAGAATGGCCGCCGCCGCCGCCAGCGGGACCCCGGGAGGTAAGAGCCTTGGCCTCTTGCCGGCCTCCCCACCCTGCGCCAGGGGGCGCAGGTCCTCTCGTGCCGGGCCCAGCGGCTTAGCCCCGTGCCGCCCCACCTCTAGCCCCTGCACTCCCTTGCTCCCTCCTCTTCCTCCGCCCCCTCCCCCGCAGTAGGGGGCGCAGCTCCACACAGCCCCCCTGCGGCTCCCTCTCCCCACCCCCCTGGCTCCCCTACTGGGGGACCTGCGGCCCGGAACCTCCTCCTGCCCCAGGGGCGCCTTTCCCCCACCCAGCTGCACCTGGGTGCCCCTGGAGGCGGCGCGAACCTCCGGGACCCCGAGCTGCGGCCCCATCCTGCCGGGGATCCGCACCAGCCCTCACCTGGCTGGCACCTTGCGTTTGTGCCCCGTGATGGCACCCCCCCAGAGCCCCCCTTCTCCCCGTGCGCGCGAACACACACATTCTCACACTCACACACACACATATTCTGCCATCACCGGGGCTTGTCATCCCCCTCCAGCCCTATTCAGGTTGGGGGAGCATTCCCCCATACCTCTTCCCTCAGATACCCCAGCTCAGCTCCATGCTGAGATGCCATCCCAAGCCTCCTCCCATCTGTTCCCTGGAAAGGGGTGGGGGGCTCGGGCCCTGGGGTGGAGACAGTTTGGTGGATGTGGGATAGGCAAAGGGACCTGAGAGAAAGAATTGGGGGGTACATTTCTAATTTCCATATGGAGTGGGACAAAACCATTAGCCAGGGTGTGTGAGAAAAATGAGCTCTTGGGGTCTGGGGCAGTGTGGGGAAGGTTGAATGAGCCCCAGTATCTCATCTGGGCCTCAGTCACAGTTGAGAAAAAGGGGAGGAGGCTAGAATAAGCTTTCAGTGAGGTCTTTCACTTAGAACTGCAAAAGGGAGGAAAGGAGGAAAAAAAACAAAACAGAACAGTGTCCGGGAGCATCCCAGGTCCTGGACCTTGTGACTTACCTTCTATGATCTAAGTGTCCTAGCTTCAGCCTCTCCCAGCTCTCCTCCTCTCTAGTACCTCTTTTCAGAGACTCAAATATTCAAGTCCTCAGCCTGTTCTTTGGGGCATTTACTGCCTCAGAGGCATATGGTCCTTAGGTCCCAGTTTTCTACTCTCAGTTTTCTCAGTCTTGTGAAAGACTCAGTTCTGGCTCCATTTCCCTCACCCCTCATTCTTAGTTTCCATTCCCTACTGTGCAGTGGAAAGAGGGCTGAATTTGGACTCAGAGGGCCTGGGTTTGAAATCTACTCTGTCACTAACTAACTAGTGTAACAAGCCTCTCCAAGCTGTCTAGAAAATGAGGGAGTTAGACTCAGATGATCTCTGAGGTACTTTCCAGTTCTAAATTTGTTTCTCTATGACTTTGTTCTCTTGCCCTTATCCTCCAGGTTATCCCTTTTTTGATACATCTTGGTTCCCATTTCAAATCTTTCTGTTTCTCCAGCCCTCTCTATACTCCTTCCTCCATAAGCTATTCTTCAGATCTCTCTACCCCAACCCTTCCGTCTCAAGAATCACAGCTTCCCCAGGGGCTATGTTTTTTCCTTAGGTGAGGTGGGAGAGGGGGAGATGCTGAGTATAAGTCTGCCTTATCTTCTTCCAGGACATAGATCCCCTCCCCCTGGCCCATCAGGCAGAGGGTGACCTTGCCATTTGGAGCTACCTTCACCATGAATAACAAGGACACCACTGAGGTTGCTGGTGAGTTCTGTACTACTTTCCTCCCCCCCTACCCCAATACACTATGTTTCAAAATGTTAGGGTTGAAAGGAACCTTGTCGATCCTCCAGACTCATTTTTCTTATTCTCTAGTAAGAGTACACTGACTCCTGGTTTCTAATTCCTCTCAGAGAACAGCCATCACCTGAAGATCTTTCTCCCCAAGAAGTTACTGGAGTGTCTTCCCAGATGCCCACTGCTGCCTCCCGAGCGGCTCCGATGGAACACAAATGAGGTACCCCAGGGATGCTAAAATAGGCAAGGGTGGGAGGAAAGACTTTTGTCCATGATCTAGAAGGCCCTGGTGGGCACAAAGAGGGGAAGAGTTTTGTTTTGTTTTTGGCCAGTATGTGTGTCTCAGTGTCCATAATCAACAGTTAAGTGATTGAGCACCTGCCACATTCAGTGCACCATATCAAGCATGGTCTTCAAGCTTCTTCAAGAAGCTTATAGTTAGTTGGGAAAATAAGATTTAGTTATATAACTAGACCATAAGCTTCTTGAGGGCAGAAAACCTTAACCATCTAATTCAGTACTATAGTATAGAAATACAGTACTTTGAAGACAGAAGAACTCAGTGACTCTTCATTGGTTCAATGGGCTGATTTGGTATAAAAACATAATTTAGCTATCCACAAGTGATTGGTGCCAAATAATAATACGTAGAATAAGTGCTATGGGATGTCACAGGTTGGAGAGATGGTTGTGATCTGGACTGGTGAGGGAGAGGCAACATGGTGTAATTAAAAGAGTGCTGTATTTGTAGACAGAGGCTCTGAGTTTATGGGCCTCAGTTTCTCCATTTGTAAAATGATGGAATTGGATTAGATGGACCTCTAAAGTCTCTTCTGACTTCTGTATCCTCTAAGGCTTAATAGAATGTAAACTTCTGAGGGCATGGACTGGTACATTTTTTTTTTCTTCACAGCCCATGTGCTGTGGGCATATGGGCTATGCATACATATGCATAAAGTCAGTACATAATTTAACTCTGGGTTTTTTTTAATAGCACTATTAAGCTTTGTTTTATCTAGTGATATAAGTATGCAGAATGAAGTTACTCAAAGATTCACTGTAACTTTAAATAAAATGGAGACAGTGTGAACCTGAAGTTGGACTTGAAGGCTGGGCAGGATTCATATAGGTTAGGGGTTTGTTTGTTTTCTTTTGTTTTTCAGTAATGGGCTACATTATCAGAAAGCCATATGTGTGATAGCCACACTTTTTTTTTTAACCATTATAGTTATTAATTGATCTGAGCTTAATATGATGATTCCTAGGAGCAATGAATTACATAGCTGGAGTGGCAGGTTGGTAATTAGGCCCTGGTGGCCTAAGAGTCCATGCTAATAAGACAAGACATTGTTTTGCTAATCTTAGCTGTATTTGGCTCAAAGACCTCATGTTGGATACCCAGAAGATGGGTGGAAAGATGGGGAACATCCAAATGGGGGATCATCATGAGCTGATTTGGAAGCTAGACTATTTTACATTTGTTGAGGGATGGGAAGCAGTGTGCAGCTAGTGTGAAGGGTTGGTCGTGTGGAATAACAAGGGCAGATCAGGTTGAAGAGGAAGGTTAAGAGAACATAGTATGGTTGGGGCAGGGAATGAGGGGGAGAAAGGAATTCTTGAATGCAAGGCTAAGGAATTTGGACTTTACCCTGGAGGCCAGGGGTGGGGAACCTAGGGCCTGTCAAAGGACATGTGGCCTCCAGGGCCCTGGGTTCCCCACCCCTGTTTTAGGCAGTGAGAAGCTGTTTAAATGCCTTTGAACAGATGGAATAACAGAGGTGTGATGTGAGAGTGATTTTTTTCATGAAGATTATTAATCTGACAGAGGAAGAAAAGACTATGGATGGGGAGATCAGTTAGGATTGCAACAGTCCCAAATTTTAGATAATAAAGACAATATTAGACAATAAAGACTCGTTTAGACAAGGGTGGAGGCAGTGGGAATGTAAAGTATCTAGTTGGATTGGAATGGAAGAAAAAGATCAGATTTTGTTGTTGTTGTTATTCTATTTATGAGTCAGGAAGAATGACCAGCTTTTGGAAAATCTCACCTAGCTCTTACATAAAAGGCTCCTGGGGAGAAGGGAGAGGGTCATAGTTTCTCTGTGTCAAGTGAGAGCAAATGGAGCCTCTGAGCTTCCTTATGGCAGTTGTAAGTGATAATCAGGCCGTAATAGGGCCTATTCCCAGGACCTTGATCTAGGAAGCCCTGATGCACAGGAAGAGGGAAGAGTTTTGTTTTGTTTTTGGCCACTATGTGTGTCTCAGTGTCCATAATCAACAATTAGGTGATTGAGCACCTACCACATTCAGTGTACCATATCAAGCATGATCTTCAAGCTTCTTCAAAAGCTTATAGTTAGTTGGGAAAACAATTATTTCTGTCCAGCATCCATAACTTGGCAGTGCGTAGGCCTTTTGAGTTTTGACATGCTAGGGAGAAGAGTAAAGGTAGGAGCTTGGAGAGAAAAGCTATAAAATAAGGGGATTGGGAAGAGAATGGAGGAGGGGGAGAGAACAGAATGAGTATTTTTTTTTCTCTCATAGGAAATTGCCTCGTACTTAATCACCTTTGAGAAGCATGACGAGTGGCTGTCCTGCTCCCCCAAGACCAGGTAAGGGGAGTTGGAGGAGGGTGTTAAGGCTAAGGATACAGGATCCCAGAGCCTACTTTACCTTCTTCTATGCTTCCTCAGGCCTCAGAATGGCTCCATCATCCTCTATAATCGCAAGAAGGTAAAGTACCGGAAGGATGGCTACTGCTGGAAGAAGCGGAAGGATGGAAAGACCACTCGAGAGGACCACATGAAACTGAAGGTGCAAGGCATGGAGGTAGGGGAAGGCCCTTAGAGGTTGATGTCTGGTTCTTCTGTCTCTGATTTTGAATCACTCATGCCTGGCTCATTTTCTAGAATCAAAGTGTTACTGTAGTCACCCCTCCCAGCCACAGTCTTAGGTCAACCATCTCACCTCTTGGGAAATAGACTGGTTCTCCATTTCCTTCAGTAACCCAGTTGTCAGGTCACCAACTTTGTTTGTCATAGGGACTCATCTGTCCAGTCTCCTACCTTCTCTGATATTTTCCTTAGAAATCCTTGTATATGGTCTGAGTCCCAACTATAGCTTTTGCCACCCCTCCTATTCTCAGTGTCCC